GCGTAAACCCCAGGAGTCTGCAGTTACTGATTAAATAATACGTTGTGAGCATCTGTGAGGCTCAGACTCTCTAGGCTGGACAAGGTCTTACCCCCAAATATGGTTACAAGGTGGGGCAGTGTTTAAGACTTCACCATAATCAGGACTTTGGAGGATACAGTTAAGCCCACAACAGGGAGTGATAGGCTGTTCACCCTGGGAATGCTGTGCAGGGGCTGTCGCCATCTGAAGCAGAGGATTTGCACGCCACCTGCTCCTTAGAACTATCTGGGACCTTTAATAATACAGACTCCCTGGTCCCTCTCCTGGAGATACTGGTTCTGTTGGTTTGAAGTAGGATCAGCAGAATTAACTGGGACATTAGGATTTTTCAAAAGTTCCCTAGTACTTACTGCTCAAAATTTGGTCCTTGGCCAAGCAGCATGGCTGTCACCTTGGAGTTTGTGAGAAATTCAGACGCTCAGGCTCCACCCAGAACTGCTGGACCAGAATGTGCACGTTCACAAGATGCTTCGGTGATTCCTTAGTTTCATGGAGGCTTAAGATGCACAGCCTCGGTGATTCAAAAGTGCAGCCTGAATTGAGAAGTTTGGATCCACATCTCTGGGCTTTGTTTACACATCCCAACTGCCCTACACACGGCAGAACATTCAGAAGCCCCAGAAAAGGAGGTGGGGCTCCCAGAATCCCTGAGGGGGAGGGGGGGGCTACCAGCTCTAGCTCCAGCTTCTGATTGTTCTACTGTGTCACCATGAACACGCTCTCCCAAAGCAGAGGCTCAGCCTAAGTGTCAAATGCAGGAAAAATAATTCCTGACCCTCAGCCCACACTCAGGCTCCCCTTGAAGGCACGGACTCATGGGTGTTTTAATCATAAGACAGATGAGATCAACGCTTCTGAAAGTATCTGAAGATTTTACACCCCAGGCCACCCTCACTTCGAAATCAAATGGGACAATATTGAACGTTCAGATTCCCAGTCCCCTCCCCTGGCAATCTGAGTTTCTCAGGTGTGAGATGCAGCACTGGAATCTATCCATTTAACAACATCCCAGGAGATGCTGAGATTTAAGTACTCTTTAAAAGCGCGGGTCTAAACTATAAGTAGTCAAAACTCCTTCTTTCCCCCTAAGGTTTTGCAGACATCTAAAAGTCGGCAGCCAAAATGTTTCCATCATGAGTGTAAACACTGCAAAGGATGCAGTTTCCGGCATACAATAAAAATAGACACTTTTAGTAAATAAAACTGCTAATATCACGCTTTAAAATGTACCCAAGAGAATACAGATAGCATAAGGCTTTGATACTCACCAACCTTCATTTAAAAATATATATATATAAGAATGAGCTCTTTCTAGTAGTCAGATCATTTATACTTATTTTTCCAGCTTTATTGAGATATAATTCACACATATTTTGTAAATTTAAAGCTACAATGTGTTGACCTGATAAGAAAGGTGTTTTTGATGTTATATCAGGTTACAGCACCTGAGAAGGCTTTCATTAGTGAACTTTATCTCTGTTCTAATTCTGTGCCTTGGTTGTCTTTGAAGGAGTGGAAATACAAATAATTCTTGCCAATTGGGAGTTGTTTGAAGCCCTCCCTTTGCCCAGGAGTCTGTGTGCAGAGGACTGTAAAGGCCGTGGGAAGGAAAGCTTGAGATATAATCTAGGTGGTGCCGAGGGAAGGGAGAGGGAAGGAGGAGGCAAGGGGAAGGAGGGTAGAGGAAGGGGTGACCAGGCTATCCTGTTACCCCCAGAACTGGATTGAGAAAGAATGGGTTCCTGCCTAGAAGATGCTCCTGGGTTAAGCATGAAGACCAACAGTGAGGACCCAACTTGGGCACCCAGGAATGCCAGGGGTGCTGAGCCTTCAACTGCAGACCGCTTGGGAGTCAGCCCTGCCTGCTGGCTGCCCCCCCGGCGCCCCCCACCTCCACCAGGGCAGGAGAGCAGGTTTTTGCTCTCTAGAGCTGGAGAACTTTCTGGTGTTGGAAGAGGACTTCTGCCCTTTTAGGTTACTAACTTCAGCTCAGGCTCCACTGGAAGAGCTGCGTGGGCTACCTCCCCCACCCCCAACTGCTCCCCAATAGTTTACGACACAGGTGGTGGACCTCTGGAGGCCAGATATCCGGACAGGGACTCCCACCTCGGGGCAGACCAGGAAGTCAGCCCCAGGGCCTGGCCCTGAAGCCCCACCCACATTGTTTCCTTTCACTGGCTATTTGGATGAAAGGTTTTGGCAATCACTCTAGACAATACCTTCGGGATAAACTGGTTCTAAAACGTGATTGGATTTAGATGTTAAGGATTGGATTACACAGGCTTTAAAAGGTGGGGGAATCTTCTGACCCAGCCTCACTGAGAAAGGCTTTTGGAGTAAGAGATCTACAGACTCAGGACAGTGGAAGTGGCCCTGATGAACTTGGGAGAAATCTCTCTGGGACTTGAAGACAAGGACACTCCAGATTCATCTTCCCTCAGGGCCCAGAGTAGGAAATACTGAGCTGCGCTGAATCATCTGGACACACTAGAACGGGTGAGCCATGGAATTTTGTATTCTCTGTTTTGTTCTCTGAAACCATGGTCTGCAAACTTTCTCTGCAAAGGGCTAGATACTAACTACGCATTAAGGGCCACGCGGTCTCTGTTGCAATGTCTCGACTCTGCCACGGGTAATGGCGAGTGATCCTGGCTGTGTTCCAATAAAACTTTATTTGTGGACGCTGCAATTTGAATGCCATAAAAATTTCACGTGCCACAAGATATTTCTTTGCAGTTCCCCCCACCTCCCATTAAAAAGATGTAAAAACTTAAATGTATTTTTTAAAGTTAAAAAAAACTAAAAAATGTGAAAACTATTCTTAGCTTGCTGGCTGGGCAAAAAAACAGGGGGCAAGCCAATTTGCCAGTCCCAGTCTAAACCATTTGCCTATATAATGCAGCTAGTGTCCCATTAGTAACTTGTGAAATAAATTTAGTAGGCTGTGTTCAGCTTGTGAAAAGAAAAAGAATTTTTCGTTGAATCTAAGATGGCATCAACTGTGAGACACAACATTATTTCTGATACCACAAGAAAATAAACAAGAGGGGGGAGCGTATGGCTCAGTGGTAGAGTGTGTGCTTAGCATGCATGAGGTCCTGGATTCAATTCTCAGTGTCTCTATTAAAAAATAATAAATAAAAGCCTAATTACCTCCTCCCAAAAAAATTTTAAAAAATACACACTGCCAAGCAAACTATGAAATGTTACTGATGAAATGCTATTTGATTTCAGACATGGTCAAATGTAAACATTGACATGTCCCTTAGTGTCAGTGAAATGTGTTAGTGGCACAGAAGGTCTCAGCATATCCTTGTAGGGAGAAATATATTACAAAACTTTTATGCCAATTACCCGCTCCCCCACAACACACATACTGGCTGGATTTCTCCCTTGCATGGTAGTGTTAAATCATTAGAATTTGGGTATCATTAAATGCTTGGAGAGCCTGCAGTGAGTGGGTTCAGGGTTGTTGTACATAAATGATCATATTAATAACTATTTATGTAGCAAACATTCAGCATTGACAGTATGCCAGACTCTTGCTCTTGAAGCAAAGAATACAGCAGTAAACAAAATAGGAGTCCTTGCTCTCATGAATGTAGCTTATAGTCTAGTGGGTGGAGACAGAAAAGAAGTAAGACGTATTTTAAACTTGTGTGTTAGCAGGTGGTAAACGCTATTGAAAAACACAGCTTTGGAAGGGAGCAGGGCCTGTGAGGTTGTGATTTTTGAATCACGTTCAGGGAAGCTTTGCTGAGAAGCTGTGGCCCTGAAGCAGGCCAAGAGCCGGGGCAGGGATACCCCAGAAAGAGCATCCAAGGCAGGGGGACCAAGAGAAGTTCTGAAAGTACCATCCTCCCTCTATTTCCTTGGGGGATTGGCTCCAGGGCTCCCCTCCTCCGCAGGTACCCAAAACCATGGATGCTCGAGTCCCTTATATAAAATGGCAGTCTTTGCATATAACTTCACACATCCTCCTGCATGCTTTAAATCATCTCTAGATCCCTTATAATACCTAATACAAAGTCAATGTACGTAAATAGTTGTAAGTATCGTGTAAATGCTTTGTATATAGTTGCCAACGCCAGGCAAATTGCTTTTTGGAACTTTTTGGTATTTAAAAAAATGTATATTTTTTTTGATCCGTGTACAAGGTCCAGTGTCTTCCAGACTCATAGAGCTTGGGGTGAACACAGTGGAGGGAGGGAGGGGCACCCAGGCAGATAGCCTAGGGCTCTTTTGGACATTTTATGTTTGCGGGCGTTTCCGAGTGTGATTGGAGACCTACGAGCAACAGAGTGCTTGCTAGCTTTCCTGCAGAGTTTACCAGGAGCCCTGGGGCTGCCCTGGGGAGTTAGGCAGAAGTTGGGGGGAGGGGTGCAATAGAATATTTAAAATGATCGTGCCACTTAACGGTTTGACCCTGTTTACTCATGGGTAAAATAAGTTGTTCATAGTTATCTCGGTGTTTCATAGGGTGATTAAACAAGACAATACTTTTGTCTTTTTTTTTTAATAGAGGTACTGGCAATTGAACCCATGACCTCATGCATGCTAAGCACATACTCTACCACTGAGCTATACCCAGCCCCTAATAATTTTGTCTTTTGAAATAAATACAATAGCTCCCCCCTTATCCACGGGGGATATGTTCCAAGACCCTCAGTGGACATCTGTAGCTGCGGATACTATCAAACCCTATACACACATGTTTTTTCCTATGCAAACATACCTATAATACAGCTAAATGTATCAGGAAGATTAACAACAGTAACTAACAATAAAAGAGAACAATTATAACAACATAATGTAATAAAAGTTATGTGAATGCAGTCTCTATCTCAAAAATCTTACTGTAGTGATTTAATATTTTTTCCATCTTAACTAAGCATTTGTGCACTGTGGCCATGACTTTTGCAGTTTGAGGTGTGACAGCAAAACCAGCATAGATTTCTTTTTCCTTCAATTTCACCAAGAGATGATTCGATCATACCATAGACATGAGCAACCTCAGCATACAATCTTTTCTCTTTCCTTATCAAGCCAAGAACTTTTACATTTTCACTTAAAGTAGGCACTTGATGGATTCCCTTCGGCACATCTGAAATGCCAGCATCACTCTGCTTGTGCCTTGGGGCCATTATTAAGTAAAATAATGGTGACTTGAACTCAAGCCCTGAGATATGTCAACAGTTGATCTGACAACCGAGTGGCTAACTAATGAGTGGGATGTGGAGGGACTAAGGGAGGATTCCTATCCCAGGACGGGGCAGCACAGCACGAGATTTCATCATCCTACTCAGAATAGCATATGATTTAAAACTTAGGAGTTATTTAATTCTGGAATTTTCCATTTAATATTTTTGGTCAATAATCAAGAGCTAACAGAAACCACAGAAAGGGACACTGCAGACAAGGTGGGGATGACTGTACTGACCATGTCGTGTGGTTGCCTTTAGGTGGTAGCTGACCAAAAGAAAGCACTGGAAGAAGGGACCACTGGGAGCAAAAAGCAGTTGTAAGATGGCGCATCTCTTCCGGGGTGAGGAAACATATGCAGCAGAGGCACTGAAGGAGAAGATCAGAGACTCACGGCCCCGGGACGGGGACAGGGACGATGCTGAGGTGATCTTTGTTGGAATGGAGCATGTCAAGGACGATGCTGAAATCCTCTGTGTCCGAGTGATTTCCAGTTCAAAACCGGTCATTTCTAACATTTTGAACAGAGTGACCAAAGACTCACATTCCAGAAGAAAGAAAGGCCATGTGGCGCAAGGTCCTGCTTGCACACTGCAGCCTGCAAATCGTGTGACCCTGACGTCAAAGGCAATGGCCGTCTCTTCAGCTTCTCTATCTGAATGGGGAGAAATAGACAGTCATACTGGTTCTGAGCCTCTGTCTAAACCTGACTGTCACAACAGCTCACTGCCAGGCATGCTCCCTGAGTCTTCAGATTTGCTTTCTCCGTGGTCTCATTGTCTACATGGAGCTGCACACCCCACAGGAGGCAAGTATGAAAGTCCTCGTGATTTAAAGCGACTTTCAGCTTCAGATGGAAATATAAACAGTGGGAATCCCAAAAGACTGAAACTTGGCGATGGATTCCCAGGGGCACATTCCTCAGCTGCGGCCCTGCCAAGCCTCTCTCCCACAAAGAATATGAGTACGGCCTCAGAAGGTGTCCCAACCCCATCGAGCCATGCGCAGGGTGGGCCATCATTTCCGTGGGCTCATGCAACTGACAAAGCGCATTTCAATCTTATAGATCCAGATGGAGCATGTAGCTTGGAAAAGCTGGAAAAAACAGACTTTTCAAGCCAATCAAGTCAAAACGAGACTGTGGATCCCAAGAAAGGAAGTCTGATCATGTTACTTGATGACTTTTACTACGGACAGCACACCGGAGACGGGCAGCCAGAACAGAAGACTCACACGACCTTTAAATGCCCCAGCTGCTTGAAAGTTCTAAAAAATGTCAAGTTTATGACTCACATGAGGAATCATCTGGAACTTGAGAAGCAGAGATGTGATGGCTGGGAAATCCACACCACCTGCCAGCACTGTCACCGCCAGTCTCCGACTCCCTTCCAGCTGCAGTGTCACATTGAAAGTGTCCATACTGCCCAGGAGCCCTCCGTGGTCTGTAAAATTTGTGAATTGTCCTTCGAAACCGATCAGGTTCTCTTACAGCACATGAAGGACAATCACAAGCCTGGCGAAATGCCCTACGAGTGTCCAGTTTGCAGTTACAGATCGTCAGCCTTTGCGGATGTGGAAGCACATTTCAGAACATGCCATGAAAACACTAAGAATTTGCTTTGTCTGTTTTGCCTCAAAATTTTCAAAGTGGTGACGTCCTACGTGAATCACAGTTGGAGGCACTGGAACAAGAGGGTCTATCGGTGTTCCAAGTGCCGGTTACAGTTTTTGACTTTCAAGGAGAAAACGGAGCACCAAACCAAGAATCACCAACCAGTTAAGAAGCCAGAGCAACTGGAAGGGTTGCCTCCTGAAACAGAAGTCGTGATCCGAACTTCAGTTCAACCAGGATCCAGAAGGGCAGCATCCATTGTCGTGAGCAACACTGACCCCCAACTGTCACCTGCAAAAGCTGAAAAGGAGATGGCGACAAACAGGAGATATTCCAGACGCATTGCGGCCAGGGCTCTGGCTGAAAATTAAGTCCTATCTCCAGGAATTCTGAAAGGCTGAACTGAGGCTGGGCTAGCTGTATGCCCTGGCTCAGAGATGCCAGCAAGTGATGTCCCCCCGTTGGGCTTTACAGTGACTGGGATTCTACCTTCGCCATCACTCTACTGTCATGTACAAGTCCCCATGCTCTTTCCTAGTCACCTTGTCCTCCCCAAAGTAACCACTGCTCTGACCACCAGAGATTAGTTCTTCCTGTTTCTGAGATTTAAGTAAATGGAATAACACAGTAGATTTTTTTTTTGGTCTTTGTTTTCCTTTAAATAAATAAGATACATTCTTGTTGTGTGTGGCTGTAGCACATTTTTTTCATACTTGGGTAAAATTTTCTTGAATGAATATGACACAGTTTTATATACCAATTTTACCACTCCTGGACTTTGAGGCTTATAATTCTGCCATTTTGAATAACGCTGCTCTGAGCTTCTGCGTGTCTTTTGGTAGACAAATGTGGGAATTCCTCTGGGGTATCTGCATCTGCATCTCTATATCTAGACACTGATCTAGATACAGCTAGATTCTCGATCTATATATATAGGTATGAGAAGTTCTGAAATAGCATAGACTTAGTTTTTTAGTGTAGATACTGCCAAACACTTTTTTCAAAGTGATTAAAACAATTTGTATTTCCACCAACAATATTAGGATTTCCATGTTTACAGATCCAACACTTGGTACAGTCAGTCTTGCATTATGTAACCGAGGAGGACCCTGCAGGATCTTCCCAGGGACAGATGACCCCCCCATTCCCTGTGTCCCCTGCCTCTTGTTTATAGAAAAGCTTTAGCTTCCTAGGCCTTCCCTGAGTTCCAAAGAGCAAATTTAATCAGAGGAGAAAATGCAGACGCAAAAGAAAACAGTCAAGCAAGACAAAACAATAATAGTTTATCTGTAAAACAAAGTCAAGAACCTTTAGTTCCCCCTCAAGGGCTAGAGACACCATCCTGAGCCATATCCTTGAGTTGTTTTGCAGATGCTAAAACCCCCACCAGGTGGAAGAAGTTAACTGCATGCTGAGCACCAGCATGTAGACCCCAGACTGGTTGGAACCAGAAGGTTGATGATGTTGCCTCCTGGAATACAACCTGATTATCTCACCACCAACCAATCATAAGAATTGTGCATGAGCTGATTACATACCCTGCAACCCTCTCCCCAACATTGTCTTTAAAAACCCTTTTCTGAAATCCATCAGGGGAGTTCAAGTCTTTTGGGCACAAAGTGCCTGTTCTCCCTCCTTGGTCTTGTTTTGGACACCTTGCAAGAAACTCTACTTTCCTTCACCACAACATGGTGTCAGTGGATTGGCTTTACTACGTGTGCGTGGGCTAGCGGACCCAAGTTTGGTTCAGTAACAATTAGTACCATTCTGTTAAAGTTGTAGTGGAGTCACATTCTAGGTTCATTTGCATTTCCCTGATGAATAATGATTTTGATAAATTTTTTTCATATGCTTATTGGCCACTCAAATATTATCATCTTTTATTAAGTGCCTATTCAAATCTTGCCTCCCTTCCCCTTAAAAACTAGACTCTGTCAACTGGGAATGGCATAAGGAAACTGCTGAGGCACTGAAAATGTCCCATATCTTGACCTGGATTGTGGTTTCATGGGTGCATATATGTATATCAAGATTGGTGCTTCATTTAATAAGTTGTCTGCTGAGGACATATTCCTCCTAGGTATTCTTCTAGAAGTTCGACTGTTTAGCCTTTCACATTTAGATCTGATCTATCTCAAATTTATTGTTTTATTTATGATGTGATAAATCAAGGTATCAAAGTTAACTTTTTCAGATGCATATTCAAATCAACCAGTGCCATTTACTAAAAAGAACACTATATATAGGGTTATACAGTGGAACTGTACTGTGGAGGAAACTATAAACGATAGACGACTGTCTACGTACTTTTGGACTCCATTCCATTCCAGTTCTCTAGCCTTCTGCTAATGCCACAATTATTACAGCTCTTAATTATTGTGGCTCTGCCTGAGTTGTGTGATGGTTAATTTTATCAGCTTGATTGGGCTAAGGGATGCTCAGAGCTAGTGAAACATTATTTCTGGGTGTGTCTGTGAGGGTGTTTTCAGAAGAGATTAGCATTAGAATCAGTACACTGAGTAAACGAGATAAACCCAATCCCCAGTCTGTTGAGAGCCCTAAGAGAACACACGGAAAGGAAAAGCAAGTTTTCTCTCTCTTTTTCTGAGATGGGACATTCATTTCCCTTTCCTTAGATGTCAGAGTTCCTGGTTCTTGGGCCTTTTGACTTGGACTGAATTATATCACTGGTTTTCTTGGTTTTGCAGCCTGGAGAGGGCAGATCGTGGGACATCTCAGCCTCCATAACCCTTTAAGTCAATTCCTGAAACAAACCTCCTCGTGTTTTCCCTCTGTATCCTATTAGTTCTGTTTCTCTGGAGAATCCTGACTAATACAGCCATCTGGGAGCTTAAGTTCTCCAGCTTTGGTGTTCAAAATCGTCTTGGCTACTCAAGGTTTTTTGTTACAGTGTTTATAATGGACATTCTGTCTTGTTCTCAAGCTCATGTACAACAGTTCATCAATTGTGATGTTGGCTGTAGGGCTTTTTGTAACTACCCACTGATCGCAGGAAAACTGAGCTACAAATCAATAACAGAAAGATAAGTAAGAAAAAAACCCCCAAAGTTTGAAATGAAGCAGTATAATTCTAAACAGGGCTGGGACTGGAGGAAGGATTACCAGGAGCCCAAGATGCCAAAGTGCCAACCTTGCATTTTCACAAGCTTCTTTAATGCTGTGGTCTAGGCTCATCCTAGTTCTGGGTCTGGTTCTAAATAACTTGTAGCTCCTATGAGAAATCACTATGGGAAAAAAATTTAGAATTGAATGGTAATTGAAAACAGCAACATTTATGAGACAGCGAAAGTTGTCCTTAGAAGAAATTCATATGTTTAAGTGCATTATGTTTGAAAAGAAGAAAGGATGGAAGGACAATGATCTAAGTCAGTGCTTTCCACGGAAGTTTCTGCAGTGATGGAAATGTTCCATATCTGCTCTGTCCAGTATGCCACATGTGTCTACAGAGCTGTTGAAATGTAACTAGTAGGACTGAGGCACTAATTTTTTAATTTTATCTAATTCCTTTGATTTAAAATTAAAATTTAAAGCAAGAAGAAACAGATCTTCTTTATAAATGAATTCCAACTAATTCGTGTTCTCAATAACTTGTGTATCTCAGATACTAACCCCTTCAATGAGGTTCTATGCCCCTCCCTAAGTGTAGGCTGGGATTGGTGACTTTTTCCCCAAGGATAGAATATGGCAGGGGGAGAAAAGTAACTTTGTAGCAGAGAAACTGAGTCACAATGATAGTACATATCCCGGATGGGAAGTGGGAATATGAGAAAGATACATTACCTCTGCAGTTTAGTTTAAAAACCTATAAACCCCAGTGTAATGGGAAGAATCACATCAAACTCAAATTGAGGGTCTTTCTGCAAACTATCTGACCTTTAAGGACTTCTGAAAATTGTCAAAAGTCATGAGAAATAAGGAAAGTTGAAGGCACTGCCGCAGACTGGAGTAAGCTAAGGAGACGCTATGACTAAATGCAATTCGGTACCCTTTATGGGAATCTGGAACAGAAAAAGTACATTTGTGGGAAAACTAGTGAAATTTGAATAAAGCCTGGAGTTTAGTTAATGGCAACTTACTGAAAGATACTGGAGTAACTGCGAGGCCTAAACGAGGTTATTTCACATACATACATGTTAGACATTGCACATATTTTCTCTACATTATACCCTCTCCATTTTGATTATGGTATATTTCACTGGACAGAAGTCTTCAAATGCAAAGGATCAATAATAGTTAGACTGTGTGATCTGACCATAATGCAACAAAATGAGAAATTGATAAAGAAACAACTTTAAAAATCCCATAGATCTGGAAAATAAATACCATGTTAATATATAATCCTTGTTTTAAGAAGAGAATCACTAGGGAAATTAGGATATACTTGGAATTGAATGATAATGAACATTATTATGCAAAAATTGTGGGACACAGTTAAATTGGTACTTTAGTAAATCAAGGTAAATTTATAGCATTAGACACCAGAGAAATAAAAGTTACAAGTAAGTGTTCTAGGCATTTATCTAAAAAAGTTGTAAAGAAGAACAACAGAACAAACCTATAGAGATAAGAAGGAAGAAAATCAAGAATGGAAAATTAATATACTATAAATGAAAACAGCATTATAAATTAACAAAACCAAAACCGATTAAAAAAAAACGATTACTAACAGACTTTCAACAGAACAAGGCACTTAAAAAAGTTTCTGTAAAAGGCCAGATATAAGTACCTTATTAGGCTTAGCGAAAAAGATCTCTGGCCATTGATCAACTCTGCAGCCACAGACAATAACTAAAGGAACAGGCACGTCTCTGTTCTAATAAAATTTTATTTAAGGACTCTGAAAACTGGATTTCGTATAATTTTCACATCACAAAATAATAATTCTCCTTGTGTTTTTTTCCCCAGTCATTAAAAAATGTAAAGCTAATGTTTAGCTCGTTTCATGCTGTACAAGAACACGTGGCAACACACACACACACACACACACACACACACACACACACACACGAACACGTGGCGGGCTGGACTGGATTGACCCCAAATGCAAATCCAAGAGGAAGGGCTTCAAGACCCAGTTGTGGGGTCAGGTTCCTTAAGCAAGCGGCAGGCAGCAGCTAGTGCTTTTAAGGGAAAGGGACTTCACCTGAGGGTTCTGAGAGCTGGACTGCAGGTGGGCAAACTCCTGATGGGCTGGGAGCCCGCCCTCAGCCCTGAACCGGGCCAGCTGAGAAACCTTGACAGCCCAAGACCCTTGAGACTCCGGTAGTTCATCAGGTCTGACTCCACCCCCAGCGGTTGCCGACCAGGGGCGTCAGTGCGCGCATGCGCCCAAACCCTTGG